GATATAGTAAAGCAAAGATGAGTAGTTTTGAAAAGTAGACATAAGAAAGAAGAGATGAGAAGTGTTGAAAAGTAGACATAGGAAAGAAGAGATGACTAGTGTTGAAAAATAGTCATAAGAAAGCAGAGATGAGTAGTGTTAAAATGTAGACATAGGAAAGACGAGATGAGTAGTGTTGAAAAGTAGACATAGGAAAGCAGAGATGAGTAGCATTGAAAAGTAGACTTAGGAAAGAAGAGATTACTAGTTTTGAAAAGGAAAAAATAGGAAAGAAGAGATGACTAGTTTTGAAAAATAGACAAAGTAAAGCAGAGATGAGTAGTGTTGAAAAGTAGACATAGGTAAGAGATCACTGGTTTTAAAAATAGACATAGTAAAGAAGAGATGAGTAGTGCTGAAAAGTAGACACAGAAAAGGAAACATGACTAGTTTTGAAAAATAGACATAAGAAAGCAGAGATAAGTAGTGTTGAAAAGTATGCATAGGAAAGACGAGATGACTAGTGTTGAAAAGTAGACCTAGGAAAGACGTCATGAGTAGTTTTGAAAAGTGGACATAGGTAAGAGATAACTGGTTTTAAAAATAGACATAGTAAAGCAGAGATGAGAAGTGTTGAAAAGTAGACATATCAAAGCAAAGATGAGTAGTTTTGAAAAGTAGACATAGGAAAGCAATGAGCAGTTTTGAAAAGTAGATATAGGAAACAGAGATGGGTAGTGTTGAAAAGTAGACATAGGAAAGAAGAGATGAATAGTGTTGAAAAGTAGACATAGGAAAGCAGAGATGACTAGTGTTGAAAAGTAGACATAGGAAAGAAGAGATGAATAGTGTTGAAAAGTAGACATAGAAAAGCAGTGATGAGTAGTATTGAAAAGTTGAAATAGGTAAGAGATGAATGGTTTTAAAAATAGAACTAGTAAAGCAGAGATCAATAGTGTTGAAAAATAAACAAAGTAAAGAATAGATGAATAGTGTTCAAAAGTAGACATAGAAAAGAAGAGATGAATAGTGATGAAACGTAGGCATAGGAAAGAAGAGATGAGTAGTGTTGAAACGTAGACATAGAAAAGAGGAGTTGAAAAGTGTTGAAAAGTAGACAAAGGAAAGCAAAGTTGAGTAGTTTTGTATAGAAGACAGAAAAGCAAAGATGAGTAGTTTTGTATAGAAGACAGAAAAGCAAAGAGGAGTAATTTGGAAAGGTAGACATAGGAAAGAAGAGAGGACTAGTTTTGAAAATATACAAAGTAAAGCAGAGATGAGTAGTGTTGACAAGTAGACACAAAAAAGCAGAGATGACTAGGTTTAAAAATAGACATGGTAAAGCAGAGATGAGTAGTGTTGAAAAATAGGCATAGGAAAGAAGAGATGAGTAGTGTGGAAACGTAGACATTGGAAAGCAGAGATGAATAGTGTTGAAAAGTAGACATAGTATAGCAGAGGGGAATACTGCTGAAAAGTAGACATAAAAATTAAGAGATGACTAGTTTTGAAAGTAAACATAGGCAAGCAGAGATGAGTAGTTTTGAAAAATAAACATAGAAAAGAAGAGATGAAAAGTGTTGAAAAATAGACATAGAAAAGAAGAGTTGAAAAGTGTTGAAAAGTAGACAAAGGAAAGCATAGATGAGTAGTTTTGAATAGAAGAGATAGAAAATCAAAAATGAGTAGTTTAGAAAAGTAGACATAGGAAACAAGAGTTGAATAGTTTTGAAAAGTAGACAAAGTAAAGCACAGATGAGTAGTGTTGAAAAGTAGAGATAGGTAAGAGATGACTGGTTTTAAAAATAGACATAGTAAAGCAGAGATGAGTAGTGTTGAAAAGTAGACATAGGAAAGCAGAGATGACTAGTGTTGTAAAGTAGACATAGAAAAGCAAAGATAAGTAGTTTTGAAAAGTAGACATAGGAAAACAGAGATGAGTAGTGTTGAAAAGTAGACATAGGAAAGCAGAGATGAGTAGTTTTGAACAGTAGACATAGTAAGGCAGATATGACCAGTTTTAAAAATAGACATAGTAAAACAGAGATGAGTAGTTATGAAAAGTAGACATAGGAAGGAAGTGATGAGTAGTTTATGAAAAGTAGACTTAGGAAAGCAGAGATCAGTAGCATTGAAAAGTAGACATAGGAAAGCAGAGATGACTAGTTTTGAAAAGTAGATATAGGAAAGAAGAGATGACTAGTGAGCTTATGTTTCGTCGACGACTCCGACATGTAAATCTTGTTAAATCCATGTAGTATGTCGCATTCTCTAGCGAGAAGAAGGTAAACAACAACTGAACAATATTAATTGAGATCACTTTGACGATCGTAAAACTTACACGAAATTTTCATCCATCTGTATCTTTTGAATTGCGGTGTTATGAATTTGTACATCAGTAACTGACCACCTCTTGCACGAAAATGTTGGTAATTGGAGCAGGCCCCTGAATATCGAATCAACTGCGGCATATAAATATCATGCAGGGACTATGCTATTCAGAAATGGAACATTAACAATAAGGAAATTGAAATCACTATGCTTCTCATACAGCTTGGTGGATATTTGTACATGTTGGTTTCGTTGAAGAAAAACGACTTATGTAGAGGTGTCCTTTATTTCGTATTATCGTGTTAAAACGATGGACTTGGTCACTAAATTGTTATTAGAGAAAAGACGTGATGTATACATCTGAAAGAGAAATTAAACAATGCAAGGTCTTTGTGACCTATTTTGATAAGTTAATGACTTTGTATGTAAACAAAAGCAAAAAAAAAAAAAAAAAAAAACAGCTGATAGAAAGGCACAGTTAGTTCCCATAGGTATGCCAATATTCTGTCGGAAGATTGTGTCGACCAGAAACTCGGGTCATTTTTATGACTTTATTCTTCGCATACTTTCCCTTTTGGCTTGACGTGTTTTTCACGAATTAAGCTACCTTATAGCTACATCCAAATAGTTGTAACGTCATTCACGTTTCCTAGAAAAATAAACTCATTAAAAGAGAACGAAGGATTTCTTTCAGTTTAGATCTGGGTTTGTTGTTGGACACTTTCCTTAAAAGAACTTCACTTTTAAATATTGCTTTTAGTAAAATCACGAAAATGCAACAATTGGAAACAACTTAACTTAAATAAGGTTTCTCTTTTCACCTTAAATACAACCTTAGAGTATTACTAATATATCCGTTTAACACTTTTACTTCGGGTAACCAATCAAAGCCTTTAGATCAGGTAAACAAACAAAGCCATTACATTGGGTAACCAATCAAAGCCTTTACATTGGGTAACCAATCAAAGCCTTTCATTTAGGTAACCAATCAAAGCCTTAACATCGGGAAACCAATCAAAGCCTTTACATCGAGTAACCAATCAAAGCCTTTACATCGGGTAACCAACAAAAGCCTTTCCTTTAGGTAACCAATCAAAGCCTTAACATCGGGAAACCAATCAAAGCCTTTACATTGGGTTACCAATCAAAGCCTTTCCTTTAGGTAACCAATCAAAGCCTTTACATCGAGTAACCAATCAAAGCCTTTACACCGGGAAACCAATCCAAGCCTTTACATCGAGTAACCAATCAAAGCCTTTACGATGGATAACCAATCAAAGCCTGAACATCAGGTAGCCCATCAAATCCTTTACATCGGGTAACCAATCAAAGCCTTTCCATTTGGTAACCCATCAAAGCTTTCACATTTGGTAATTCAGCAAGCTTTTACATTGGGTAACCCATCAAAGACTTTACATTGGATAACCCATCAAAGCACAAAACCTTTACCTTTGGCAATGCATCAAATCCTTTACATCGAGTAATCAATCAAAGCCTTTACTTTGGAAAACCAATCAAAGCCTTTACTTTAGGTAACCAATCAAAGCCTGTTCTCGGGTAACCAATCGAAGCCTTTACATCGGGTAACCAATCAAAGACTTTACTTTGGATAAACAATCAAACATTTCCATTTGGTAACCAATTAAAACACAAAGCCTTTACATTGGGTAACCAATCAAAGGCTTTACTTGAGTAACCATCGAAGCCCATAGCCTTTATATTATTTGGTGATCAATCAAAACACAAAGCCTTTACATTGGGTAACCAATCAAAGGCTTAAAATTGGGTAACCCATCAAACCACAAAGCCTTTAAATTGGGTAAACAATCAAAACACAACGACTTTGCATTGGGTAACCCATCAAAGGCTTAAAATTGGGTAGCCCATCAAAGGCTTTATAAGGGGTAACCCACTAAAGTACAAAGTCTTTACACTGGGTCACATATCAAGCACATAGCCTTTACGTTTGGTAACCCATCATAGGCTTTACATTGGGTAACCCATTAAAGCACAAAACCTTTACACTGGGTCACATATCAAGCACAAAGCCTTAACATTGGGTAACCCATTATAGGCTTTACATTGGGTAACCCATCAAAGCACAAAGCCTTTACATTGGGTACACAATCAAATCCTTTACTTCGGATAACCCATCAAAGCCTTAATACTGGATAACCTATCAAGACTTAACCCTAAGCCTAACTCATCAAAGCCTTGGATTCCTTAAAAAAACTTAACCAGTATGTAATCAAAGAACTGTACAAAACTGTCATGTATAAAATAAATGTTTATAATTTAGAAGACGCTGTTGAAAAATAGTATTGGCATTACAATTTAGTTTTTTTTTTTTTTTAATATTTTGAAAATAGTTTACTGGTTGTTTTGCATTATTTTCGATATTGTATTAATTGCTAAGGTCAAATATTATTTTTTAAAAATAAACGTCAGGTGTACATATATGCTTAGGTGTCAGTCGTATCTATAAACGGTCCAATGCACAATAAGCGCAAAAAACTCATTATAAGACAATTAAGTTTAAACACATTTTTCTGTCTATTTTAACATGTGTTACATCTCCAACAGTCATTAATACTTTGACAAAGTGCCAATTTTAGTTACATTTTTCTCTATAAAAGGGGTTGTGAAGAGGCTGTTAGCATCCTCTTGGTAGGCTTTGACTTCCTTACAAGATGAGAAATTTTATGTTGTTGTTGGTGTTAGGATGCCTCGCTCTGGCAGTCTCTGATGGTAAGTGATATGTCTTATGGTCAATGATTTGAAAGCTTCGCGGCCAGTCACAGTTAAGATATATTTCTCATGGTTAATATCTTGAAAACCTTGTTCACAGTCATATGTAAGCAACGCTGTTCGTCAAAACCTTACCACATTCATACTTGTAAATACGTTATAGCGACTAATAGCGAACGAGCCCATTTCATATGATTATGGTGGTCTAACATTTTCTACAATTTCGAGCTTTATCACATAAATGTGTAGATCAGTCATTTTTTCTTTATCTATTTATTATTTATTAATTTATGTATTAAATTATATTTTGTCAATAAAAAACCAAACTTATTGCTACACAATCGGTCCTTTATATCATTATCATTCAAAACAAGGATTTAGTACGCAAAGGCAGTTGCTGAAATTGAACGTATTTAACATGTATGGAGTAGCCCTTTGGTGTAGTGTTATATGATGGTTATACTTGCTCGGGTTTTAATACAGTATACCACCACAAATTCAAACACACTAGAGTTGTACCTTTTTATTCATATACATTTAAACAACCATTAATTCTGTGTCGTTTTTGGACAATAAATAACATTTAAAATAGGCGATCTTTCGGAGTCCTGCTAGTTTTCCATACATCATGATGTGCTAATAAGGAATTTGCTGGCCGTATATTGTTACTATACTTTCATATACCAACCAAATACAGTGCTTGTTTAATCTCCAATGAATTAGATGACGTCAGATTGACATTATGTTTGATGTATAAAGTATAGTGATATTAATGTTCCTTCTATCCCTTTTTTATAGCGCTAAGGTGTAGAGGATTTATTTTCAAACGTAGATACAGGGGATTTGCAATGGGGATGGTGCCGCGAGGAACGTATAACAAAAACTATGCAGAAGTAAGTATGTCTTTCATTAAATAATTCTCATATGCCTAGTAGACAACCGGGCATGTATAACATACAACTAGGAATATTAACTTGTGTATCGAAGCCGATTTGGACAATCCACAAAGTTCGCATAATGATCTTTATCTTTTATATATAAATATAATGGATACTCTACGGTATTGAAAAAAAGAAAACGATAAAGAGAATTGTTATAGAATTGATATAAATATACAACAAGCACTGTAAAGGAAATGTACAAAAAACGAACTTAGACTTAACTACGAATAGACAACAGTGTTTTAGATGTTAAAGATATAGTAATAGGTAGGAAAGCAGGGATAATTCATATGGAAAAGCAGATGAAGGAAAGCAAAGACAGAAATGTTGAAAAGTAGACACATGACAGCAGAGGTGAGCAGTATGGAAAAGTAGATAAAGAAAAGCAGAAATGAGGAATCAGGAAAGTAGAAATGGGATATCACTGATGTATAGTCTTGTTTGACCCTCGTTAGTTTGCCTGTTGGTTCTGTTGTTGTATACATTGCTCTCATTTGAGAACGTGACATTACTTGGATCGACCAAGTATTGCATGACGGGTGTCTTCGTTGAAGCAGTCATAGATGACTCACTCTGCTGTATAAAGTATGTACAACAGACGTAAGGTATATTGCTCTAGTGTAGATATGCTTAGCTGCTCAGTAGAAATATTTTCAAATTCAATAAGCATTACTTTGCGATAGCAGTAGTAGTTGAGGGGACTTCTGAAATGGTTTCCGTTACAATTAGAATTTCTATTTTGATAATTTTGGTATCAAATTAAAATTCACTACATGTATTGAAATATTTCGTGTTGTGGCTGAAAAATTAAAAGCATGTTATATAAAAAAAGTCTTTCATCTTTTCATGTCAAGTCCTTCTGTTTTGCTAGTTTTCCATACATCATCATTTGCTAATGAGGAATTTACTGGCGGTATACAGTGTATTATACTTTCATATACCAATCAAATATCGTGCATGTTAATGTTTATGGATCCATTGGCCACAATTAACTGAAAATCAGATTCATTTCTTGCTGGAATGAAGACTGCGTCGGAAAAATTGTTATGAAATTATATGAGTCGATACTCAGTATTTACAATCATAAATTACATTTCGTTTCAGAAATATTCTCGAATGTTTTTGTTTAATTTTCAGCATTGTTGCAAAAGACTAAGGGCATCCCTAGTCCATGATTTTCAAAAAGCCGAATACTTTGGAAAATTTCTAAGGAGGTTCAGGCACTCCAGTAAGTATATTGATTTTACCGACAGTTATTGTACATGTACCATTTGTTACGTTTCAGTATATATGTAATGACTAAAAGTTCAAAGCAAAATATTAGACATAAAATTAAATTAAAGGATAAAGAACATTACAAATAACAATCTATGATTTGTAAATAATAAATGAATTATTTTTACTTTTTCGGGAGAAAATACAGCACAACTATTTTCTCTTATCATATTTACATGCAAGATACACAAATGTATAACACTCTTTAACAGAAGAAAATAAACATAGCGATAGAAACAAAAGTCAAAAATACACGCACTAGCGCCATTATTCAATTTTTAGCTTTTCGGAACACAAGTTTGTTTTATGTTTAGATAGTTCTCTTTTTTCTATTTGTTTTCGATTTTTCAAATTTAAATGTTTAAAAGATATTACAAAAGGCAAATGAAACTATCATTTTTGAATTTATTCAAATCACATGTTTGAATATTGCATCCAGTTTATCAAGAAAAAAAAAGAAATAGTTTTATCACAGAATGACATTTTTTTCCACACTTAAAATTCGTCTGCTAGGTTTACAAGTTTAGGCCGTTATCATCACAGACGAGTCCAAGAAGGATGAAACGGCTGTGCGATACAGTTTAAGTCATTATTTGGCTCTACAGTGTCTATATATAAATTTGTATTGAAAGGTGCTATTCACTTGTGTGTCTTTTGTTAATCTTGAATTAGTCCCAGATGCGCACAGACCAGATAAATTATAATTGTGTTTTGTGATATTTTAGGCAGGATGAAGTTTAATCAGATTGAACCACAATCGTTACTGCGTAGTTCCAATATACTTTAATACAGTTGATATGGTTCCATATGATTCACTTAAACAGTGATATACTAAGTACGTGTATTTATTCTACTCTAATTTTAGAAGCGAGAAGAATCGTCGGCGTGTTAACTGGTATGGAACTGAAAGGGTACAACAATCCGCAACGATGCGTTTATATGAACCGCAGATCGGGCTTTAGAGCGGCAGTACTCGAAGAGTGCAAAGTGTCATCACGTATCGCTTACTTGTGTTACAAGAAGTAATCATGCTTTGCAATATGAACAAATCTATACATAACACATTGTTGTCTAGTTTTTCCTCATTTGAAACAAAATAGTATTTATAAACTTACATATACCATAACGTAGATTCTGATTTCATGTTGGTACTTCTTGTGCTTTTTACAAAATTAATTCTTAATAACTTCAACAGACTGAAATTTTCTTAGAGAATTCCTTTGAATTTAACATGTGTTTGTCTAAATATGAACTACTTTTATGTCATTTATTTGGGTGGAATAAAGAAAAGCATATTCAAACTGTTACTTTGTGTCATGACATATCATCATGTTGAATCTAACCCCAACGTTGTCATATTATTTCTTTATACAAACCTTATATTGTGCGACAATACACGTATCGTTATATCCATGGACACCAGTTTAAAAGGAAATCGTGATATCGGGGTTCCGACAAGTATTGTAAACTGTTCAATTTGGTTATTACTTTATTAGCGCTAGTGGGAATATTTGCAAACATTTGACACCTGTGACCTTCAGTCCTTAACGACATAACTGAGCGACATTGTGTAGCCCCTTTTTTCAGAATGCGACATATCGTCGACAACTTGGTTATTATTTAAAGAGAAAACGACTGACACAGAAAGTAGGACAGAAAAAGTGAACAACAAAAGATCCCCTGCCTTTCGGTCCGAGGAGCTAAAAATAAACAACAAGAACAAGTATGGAAAGTATGGTACAACCTACCAGAATATGTAGTCAACGCACCCAACACTAACACATTCAAAAATTTTAATTCCTGTACTGGAAATCAACTATAAGTAACTATAAGTAAGTAAGTAACATACATATCTGTACCAACATATTGTAACGTTAACGAATGGGTTCATACTCGGGTCACCGAGAGACAATTGGCTCATATGTTATATTACTACTCTACAGTAGAAGACAATGTATCAATATTTACAAACTATAAATGTGATTTCCTATCACACAATCATATGAACTCTTGGACGATAACCTCCAAACAACTGACTATCAACTCATCTTACATCTGGCCAGTCACGTATACACTATCGGTATATTACCTCCGACCGTGACTTCTGGTCTATACATATCAGACCGTTGACTAGTAATCACGTGATCATCTGCCTAGTCACCTGCCTAGTGATCACCGGTCTAGTACTAGCAATCAGTGACCGTTGGCTCATGATTGCCATTCCCAATACAGACGGCCAACCTCTGGTCACTCTGATACACAAGTTCCCGTCGTAAATCATGGTAAGACTGTATGTCACTTCTATCCCTCTACGACTCTATGATTGTATCTAATTCAAGGTATACTTAGCCTAGCGTCGTCCTAACAGGTCAGAAAATAAAGCATCCCTTTGAGATTCTCTGCATTCATTATGAGAAAGTGCTGCCCTCTTTAAGCTTTCAGTTTTCTTTTAGATGGTTATCGTACAACTCATATCATGATTACGACCCCTCCTAACTGGACATTTCAATGTTGGGTAACCTGCTGAGTAACAATATTCATGCGTAATTAAAATTAATATGGGCTGACGTTGTTCTATATGGTAAATATTGGCAATACAGACACAAAACGACACGAAAATACCAAACTCAAATTCAATCACACTAGGGCAACATATCAAGAAAAGAAAGATTACGCGGAGACTCCCGCAAAAAAATACATGGAGACTAATATCAGGTGTTCAGAACGAGAAAACTTCCTCTGGTTCTTCAACAGCACCAGTCATGTAAACATTGATCAATCTAAGTAAGTAATATCACGTTCTCAAATGAGAACCAGGTCAACAACAACGGAACCAGCAGACTAACGAACGAGCATCAAAGACGTCCAGCTTCATATCGCACAAATAAAACACAATTTATCCCCTCAATACGGTATTCTTTATTATGCTTTCGTTTAATTATTAATATTCCTTCCATACAGACAGAAAGTTTTATCCTACCAGTATATAATAACATATGAGTGAGAACAAAGTCTGTCTGAAATGTTTTGAAATGATGTTAAGAATTATAATCAAACCGGTATTAGGTTTCGGGATAAATTTACTTGCCATCACCCTTGATTTAGACCATTTTATAAGTTCAGGTAAGTTAAAATGAGCTGAATCCAAATGGTGGAGCTTCAGAAGAAGTGAGAAATCTTATATGCATGCACGATTTGAATAAACATAGTTTAGGTATTTGATGTTAATTCGTTCTTCCCTCAATCAAACGGAATTAAGCACCAAATTCCTAAGTTTTGGATCGTCTTGGTCGCACGCACCCAATAAACATCAATAACAAAGAGCAATTCATTTATCCAATCAACAGGGACTTTAAATGGTAATTTCAACATATGCAGATACTAGTAGAGGAGAGAAAAACAAATTTACTACCATGTTTTACACAGCAATATCCCAGCCAGAACACGTATGTCATTAATAGCACAGGTATCTCCACTGCAGATTCAACCAATACTACCACTAACTGCAGCGGCTGGCCCAGTGTATCACTATTGTGTTGTATGATAAGTGGGATTGTTTCAATGATACTGACCTTGTGAGATTTATTGATTGTAGTCTCGTCACCCAAAAACATTATTTTAAAATTATTTGTTTTTCAAAAGGCGAAAAAAATAATAAGAATTGAAAGAAATATCTACACACCGAAAGTGAATAAAACGAAGTTGTATTGATGGAGGTGTTGAATTAGTGTATAATTTCTAGCATGTATTTTCTGTATTGGTGGCTTACAGTTCTTAGCATCGACTGAACGTATTATCTGGTATTGATGACGTATGATTTCTAATACTGGCTCATTTTGTTTCTGGTATTGACGGCGTATAATGTCTAGCACTGAATGTATTTTCTAGTATTAATACATCACGATAAGACAAAGACTGTTTGTAGTTTACTGATGTTTTAGCTCACATTCACATTTTAGCTCACATTCACATTTAATCTCACATTCACATTTTAGCTCATCTACCGGAAGTTATTTGGTGTTACTTGACGTGTAGCATGCTAGGATGAAGAGCTACAAAAGTCAAACGAATGACCTATGCCTACTTTCAAGGTCAAATGTGTCAAATTTGTTAAAATCTTCAAACGACACTGATATTGGGCCTGAAATATGGTTGGATCAAGGGTATAAAGTTCGAGCAAATGAACAACCTTCACCTCTTTTTCAAGGTCATTTTGGTAAAATATATCTTCAAATAATCTATCAATAATCAATACAAAGCCCACGGCACTGATATTTTTGTATGTATGTCTGGATAAATATCATGCCTCTAGGACTTTTAGTTCATGAGGAGTTGTTCAAGTGTTTTTAAAATTTCGACCCCGTAACTTTGGATATTGGTCAAGGTCATTTCTTTTCGTAAACCTTATCGGGCTTTTTCGTAGGAACATACCAGCCAAACATCATGTCTCTAGGAGAAGAAGTCGTTTAAAAGAACAAATCTGACCCCTATGACCTTGAATATGGGTTAAGGTCATTTCTTTTTGCAAACTGTATGAGAAGTCGTTGAAATGTTTAAAACAAATTTGACCCCCGTTACCTTGAACATAGAAGAAGCAGAATACGCTTACCGGGACAACTGGTCGTATGCTCCTGGAATTTTTTTTCATGAATATGCGCGTAAATCTTTCTTTTGTTCATATTTCGCCCTAGTTTTATTGAACTAGAGTTTGGATTACAATTATGTTGACATAATGGTGTCTTCTTTCTTTCTTTTGTTAATATCTTGTTCAAAAATATAATTATTTTCCAGGAATAGACATTTTCGTTGACACTTAATTACGTGGATAAAAACATTCACAAGTGCTGTAATCCATGTCAACTTTCAACTATTCCTTATTTTGTGTTCATATAAATTCATTAACTGTTTTATCGATAACCAAGAAATTACTACTCCAGTCAGAGAACACTTTTATAAAATTAAACAATACTTCTTATTATGTCTGGTTGTTCGGCTGTCGTTAACATTGGCACCATGATATAGCTTTCACGATTTACATGGTCAGGTGTTGCCGATGAAACGGAAATAGCTGCTCTTTAGGAACACCTGGTCTTATTCTCCTTTTTTCAGGAGCATCCGTGTAAATCAACCCGTGTTTCGTCTACTTTTAGATTAAATTAAGATATTTAATTGTCGGTATATTATGTTATTTATGTAGAATATAATAATCAGGATTTTAATATATTTAATATATTGGTGAAAATTCTTTATCTGAATTCACGCAATTGTGTTTTCACGACTCAGTATTACCTAAATAACATCAACACTTTCAAGAGCCCTGAAAACGAAAAATAAATAAATGATATTTAAGTTCTGGTACTATTACAATAATATTGATCATTGATTTTCTTAAAAACAAAATTAAAGCTAAATATTTGAAGCTGCTGTATAAGTTCCGTTTCTAAGATAAATAGTTTCATGTTAATCAGAACAATGATACGCTTGCCTCTTTAAATAATTTCACAGGTTAGTAGAACTGGTATATTTTATGATTTCACATGAGAATAATCGAATGACGACAACATATATGACGTAGAAGATGTTTTTCAGGTGATAACGATCGAATGAAGACGTTGAATATGACATGTTCCTTATGTGATAACGATCGAAAAATGTGTAAATATGTAATTATCGATCTGACGAGATGCATTATCGCATTGGTTTTAGTAATTTGAAATATATATAATAATTATGCTCTACTGCATTCAATGAAAAGTTTGGAATCGCAGGATTTCGTCAAATTGCCCGAGTCGGTTGTCTGTACACACGCATATATCTGACATATACGTTCACCTTTATGGGAAAAAATTAGACTCGATAGCGGGCGTTTTTCTACGGAAGCCGGTTAGTGCCACTTTTTTCATGAGTTAATTTTTTTTAAGTCGTAATTACGACTAAACATATCGTAACTACGACATAGCTATCTCGTAATTACGACTTAGTTATCTCGATATTACGACATACTCTCTCGTAATTCCGATTACGTTATCTCGTATTTACGACTTAACTATCTCATAATTACGACTTTGTTATCTCGTTATTACAACTTAGTCATCTTGTGATATTACGACAAAGACCGAACTGTTTTGCGGCAATGTTTACTTCCGTCGACTCACACACGTGTTTTTGACAGATGGCATCGGGAGGTTCCCCAGCCCTGAAGGA